TGAGTCTGATCAATTGTGGCCATTTCTCTCTTTCCTAATGTAATCACATGATGCTAGTAGCTGGGGCTTCAGGACCTCGAGCTGAAAACACTGATTATTGTTCTTACCAGCTTTGCCTGTTACTTTGGGGGATGCTCATTTGTTAGGATTACTCTTTGGGTGTTGGGGGGTTCTGTACTTCTATCAATGTACTGGCTGTGTCACTTGTGTTCTCATATGGAGCTCTACTTCTCCCTGCTGCAAGTTCCCTCCCAATGGAGCTATCCTGCAGGAACTAGGTTCCCCAGGGCTGGGTTCTTCCAGCCCCAGAATCAGACGAGAACACACATTAACAGACTGTGTCTGAGAGGACCTGGTTCATCAGCACTCCCAAGCTGACACCTTATATGTCCCTGGACTCAGTAGGCTGGTTTGAGCAGCACTTCCAAGCTGTCACCCTCATAGGCCCTGGGACTCACCAGCCTGGGTCAAACAGCACGTCCAAGCTATCACCCTCATATGCCATGGGCCCCGCACCAGAATAGAGCATTCCTGAGCAGGCTGGGTCGAGCAGCACCTTCAATCTGCCACCCTCATATGCCCCTGGACTCAGCAGACTGGGTCGAGCAGCACTTCTAAGATGCCACCCTCATATGTCCCAGGTTCAGCACGTCTCTAGCCCCACTTTCACGTTACAATTGTTGTGGTAGTAACCCCACAGGATTTTTGGGCGCTGCAGGGATCTTTTAGCTTAGGTACAAGGAGTGTTGCTGCAGAGCAAATGAGGAAACCAAAAAACACCCACGATGCGGGGGGAGAGAGAGAGAAAGAAGCAACCAGCTTAATCATGAAAGTTATTTATTGCCAGGTAATAACCATAGGGGAGCCAAACAAACAAAACAGTTATAATAGTAAATCTAACTTAATTTGGATTATAAAAGTCAGGTGTACAAAACTGTAACTGATCACACAAGTCAGGGTCAGAAGGCTATACCAAGAGAGAGAGAGCTGGGTTCTTACCACTCTGTGAAGCTTGAATTGATCAGGGGTCCCAGGTGGTGGTGGTGGTGGTAGCTGAGGGTCTGGAGTGCTGGAGACAGGCAGAGCCCGCAGCACGATCAGTCAGGAGAAGATGAAGTGCCAATGGAACTGATGTAGATTTTGGATCCAGGCATCAGAACACTTACTTGAGCATAGGTAGGGTTTTTTGTAGAGAAACAACAATGGTTCAAGATTTGTTTATGCGTAAACAAGGGAGTATACCAAAGTTCCTTGGAGGGAACTCACAATATAATTAGGACGCTTCACTATTTTGGATACCAATAAAAGATTTATTACTAGAATTGATCTGATAATTACTGAGCTGTGTGTGTGTAGGCATAGGTTCATTAACATCTGGAGTGGAGATCCCCCATCATGCAGTGCTTCCCTGCTTTTCTGGTCCCAGAGTTCCATGTGGTTCTTGCCTTGGAACCTCTGTTCTCCATTCTGTATGCTAATGGAGATGCCTCCTTGTCCCATCTTCAATGCAAATAAGGCTAGGGCAGTTTCCTTAATCCTGTCATCCTTATTCCAGGGGTTTAGGTGCGTCTCCCATTGTCTTTTCATTGCTTTTTGTAAGTCTTTCTTCTGATGCAGATTTGGTTCAAGCAGAGAGGCTGGGGGTGGGGGAGGTCTTTAATGAGTCAGACATGCTGGATACTGTGCCCTGGTTCCCCAAGAACACAGGTAACATTCTAGGAAATCCTTTAAATATTGCTCCCTCATCTATTTGGCCTAGTCTGTCTTTTACTGTGTTGTAACCAGGTATTATGGTATCCCACTGATTTTTGTCATGCCAGCGTATTTCCACATATCATTTGCCAGTGTAAGATATTCTTGTTCTTTTAATTTTTGCTTTAGAGTCTCATGTTTGTGAACAGAAATTTGTCTATCATTTTTATTTTTATTTTTTTTACCAAGCACCTGTTTTAACTGCCTAATCTGACAGCTTGATGATTTTACTGAAATTTCATGTGTTCTTGTCCTGTCCTTATCCTCTAGTTCAATTGTAATTTTGCTTCCTATTCTTTACTGGATATACAGATGCAATTGTCCATCGATGTGTTCCTTAACTCCTGTCAGCTTTCCCCCACCTCTTAATTTAAACACTCCTCCAATATCTTATTTTACATGCTCGCAATGTGGTTTCATTTTAATTAAAGTGGAGCCTCCATCCCTTCTGTATAGGCTTCCCCTTCCACAAAATCTTCCCAAGTGCCTAGTAAACTTAAACTTGTCCTCTTTTACACTATCTTGTCAACCATGCATTGAGACCCTAAAGTTCTCTGTACCTAGTTGGAACCAGGCATGGACTTGAAAGAATTTCAGGTTAGGTTTCTACAGAGGCCTTGGATGTAAACCGTCTTCCTAGTAGTCTAAATTTAACTTCCAGGATCTTTCTCCTGCATGGTTGGTACCAGTGTGTAACATGACCATAGACTTCTCCACAGCAATCATCAGAAGTCCATGTAGGTTTCTTGTGATGTCCACAGCCTTTTCACAGGCAGGCAAGTTTCCAAACTGTTTTCTCGGTCACCTTATACCCAATATATTCCTATATCCCCTATTACCATAGCCTTTCTTAGTCTCCCAAGAGTTTCTCCTCCCCTGGAGAGCAGTGACCTTGGTGCATGAGGAATTGTCAGTCTAAGTGGGTTCCAGTTAAGGGTGAGTGTTTAAGAGTCTAATTGCTAATCAAAAACATATATGTGCATTGGAGATCAGTTAATGTCACTGAGACATTGAGCTTTTGCATTTCCTTACCTTTGTGATTTTAATTTCTAATTCTAACATTGTATTGTTATAAAACAAACAAAAAGGTTAGTTATGACTGTTTTTAAAATATGCCATGTGACTAAATTTTTCCTATTATCTGATGTTTTAAGTTGTTATACTTTTCTCTGAATACATTAGAAAAATGCTTGCTAAAGATTGCAACATGTTTTTAAAATTTAAAAACAAAAGTTATCTTCAATGTTGATATTGACATAGTGTTACTATTCAAGGTTGTCATTGTTACTGATGACATATAATGGTTAGCATGGGAGTTAACGTTGACACAGTGTTGCTAAGGACACAAGCTATAATTATAGCATTAGCATTATCTCTACAATGGCAGAGGGATTAGGAGGACATGGTGCATCGGATATACTAGAGAACTTTAGAAGACCATGTGGTAACCCACCCTAACAGAGTGTAGTTTTTAGTGACTTTTAGGGACTAGACCACAATTAGTAGCTTGAGTTTGCACCTGGTTCTGTAGCTCAAGCAGTAGAGATTCATGCTTTTAGATTGCGAGATCCCTGCTTCAATCCCCACAGACACAGGTAGGCTTGGCTGAATTTGATTTTTTGTTTTTAAGCATTTTTTATTTTTATTAATTTTAAATTGTCACGGTTGTGCAAAATTATGGGTTTTAAAGCATTCTATTTTTTATTTTTATTTTATTTAAATTTTCACCATTGCAGGAAATTATGGGAGGGTCAGACAATGGGGGATGGGTCAACAATAATTATTTAATGACAGTAGGTGTTGAAATTCAAACACAAATTGTCACAATCACATGTCAACATATATACAATAAATATTAAAGTTCTCAAGCAGCATTTTTTTACTGTAAATGTCTCAGTAAATTTCAATTATGATGGAAATATTTTTTCATCAGTTTGTGTGAGTACAGTGAAGTCAATATTTACTGAAATTTACAGATAAAAATCTAATTCTTTCAAGCCTGCTTATAGGATTTAAAGTGCTATGGACATCTGGAGTTCAGAATGAGAGAGGTTCCCTGTCAAAGCGAGTGTACAATCTACAATGACACAGCATGGCTTTTTATCCTCCTCTAGTAACTTGCTATTGTGTAATGATGCCCCTAGTCAGGACATCTGTACAAAAAGAGCCCTGGACTTCTGGATTTAAAAGAATCCGCTACTACTCTTTAAGCTAAATGATAGAGCCTTTAAGTTAAAGACAGATTTCACAAACGGTATGCCTACACTCCAATCAAAGGTGTGATTGCAGCTTGTGTAGGCATACCCACACAAGCTTTAATCTAGCTAGCACAGCTAAAAAATAGCAGTGATGCCATGGTGGCAAGAGCTTAATTGCATGCTAGGAACGTGAGAATATACCCAGGGTCCCAGGTGGGCTTGTACAGCCTGTGCTGCAGCTTGTGCTGCCATGGTTTCACTGCTATTTTTATCCATGCTATGAGTGAGTTAGATTAAAGCTAGACTAGGTATTTTTACACAGTCTGAAATCACCTCTCCCCTTCAATTCCACTGTACATGTTACCCATGCCTGCTTGGGTGTGGCACTCTGTTCCTTCTAGTGGTACCTAGCCCAGCTAGAGATTGTTGAGTCTGCTACAGCCTTAGCTAATAGCCATCTGGCTTTTAACTCATGCAGTAGAGGCTCATACACTAAGCTTCAGAGATTCCAGGTTCAATCCTGCCCGCCGATGGTCTGTTGGCATTACACACATACCCAGAGATAAATGTTAGTGTGAGTTAAAAACAACTGTGGCGTCTGGAAAAAAAATGTTAATATATATGCCAAATGCCTAAAAAGTTTAGAGGGTTAGTGTCACAGAAGAGCAGGTTTGAAGATTTGAAAGGTGGGCGCATCTTTTGTTAGAGTCCAGGAGTGTATCATCAACAACGTTGTAATTGATGTGAAGGTGGCAAAGAATACTGGAGACCTTGCCCTTAACTTATTTCCATGCTCTCAAGGATTTGGGTGAGTGGTGTAGATCCTGAATTGTCACTAAGTTTTTGTTAGTGTAAATATAACTTTGTAAAACACTTTAGGAAAAAATATTAATATACAAATGTTCTGATAATGTACTGTTGTGTTTTAAATTGACAAGCCTTTTATAATGCCACAGACTGTAGAAACTTTTTCTCTGACTAGTGAAACAAGTTTAAAAATAAAGATACCATATCTTTTTTGTGACTTATTAAAATGTTTTCATTTTTAAGCCTCTGCCATCCAGGTCCTTGCCCATCATGCCCTGCCTTTATGACAAAAACATGTGAATGTGGGCGAACAAGGTGAGATTATTTTGATTATTTTTTTTACAAACAAAAATAGTAAATTTTATAAATACGGGTTGTAATAAATTTCCATTCTTTGAGGTATACTTCCAGTCTGTGTATTGGGAATGTCCAAAGCAATTTCTGCAAACTTCGCTGAAAACTAGACACAATATATTTGAAATCTACTCTGTTCTTTAAAAAAAATCTAAATAGGGACAGATGTAATATCTGAAATAGTCATCCTGGTAATTTGTCATTTTTACAATTACATTTTCATATATTTTTTAATTCTTTCCTTTTTTTGTATGAGATCCACAAACAGGGAATTGAAACTGATATATACCAAAAAAAATCTAATTGTTATAGTATTCTTAAATGTTATTTGTAATAGGTAAATGATTGCGATAATTTTTAGTTGATGTAAACATGTTGCTCTAAACCAGGGGTTCTCAAACTTCATTGCACCATGACCCCTTCTGACAACAAAAATTACTACCTGACCCCCAGGAGGGGGGACCGAAGCCTGAGCCCACCTGAGTCCTGCTGCCCTGGGTGGGTCGGGGGGAGCTAAAGCCTGAGCCCCACTACCCTGGAGGGGCAAAGCTGAAGCCCAAGGATTTCAGCTCCAGGCAGGGGGGACTGTAACCTGAGCCCCACTGCCCAGGGCTGAAGCCCTCAGGCTTCGGTCCCAGGTGGTGGGGTTTGGACTTGGGCTTCCGCCCTGAGCCCTGACAAATCTAAGCCAGCCCAGGCAACCCCATTCAAACAGGGTCACAACCCACTTTGGGGTTTTGACCCACAGTTTGAGAACCACTGCTCTAAACCCTGTAAACAAGTCTTTAAAATTCCAGTAGAGGCAAAAAATGTATTGCCAATTTTTAAAAATTCAGTTAGTGCCATATTTTAACAAAATTGCATTACTAAGATCTTGTCTCTGGGTGAGAGACAAAATTTATACAAGAGTTTTTAGAAATTTTTTTTTTAAAGTTTGTGTTTGCGAAATAAGAATTAGACAGATGTTAATATATACTCTGGCATTTCAGTAGTAGTGTAAAAATTATAATGAAGCCTAAATCTTGGTTCTGTAGTTAGTTCATGACTGAAAGTCCTGTAGCTTTAGAATTCCAGTGGGCACTATATATCTTCAGAGCAAGTACAACAACCTTCTATTGTGTCTAACGTTTTTCACCACTAACGTTAGGTGAATGCCCTTTCACAGCTGCTGCCACTGTGAAAAGTGGATCTGTTGGTTCAGCCATACCTCTACTAACCTTGATTTTTACTATTGACTTTTCAAAGACTCCAGTTCTGACAGTGTTTACTAATACAGACCTCTGAATCCCTGCCTCAGCTTTATCTCATGCAATCTGATGACTATTACCTCACAACTTTGTATTGGTGACACAGACACTTCATCTCTAGCTGGTCAAATCACTGTCCTGGCACAAAGCCTGTCTCCTATGCTTCAAATATGCATGGCACTTCTTGCTCCAAATCTGTCAGGAGCTGGTGCTGACAGTTTCAGTGCAACCAAATGGACATCTATTCAAATTCTGTCACACCTCTGCTGTCAGTCTCAATCTACTATATGAAATTATAGGGATGTTTCATCAGCATGTTTAGTTAATTTGATGACCCAGATCAGCTGGAGGATTATTGTGACACAACCCATACCTCCATACGGACTAATGAGAACAAAGCCCTGTCTTCAGTGAGGTTGCTCAATAAAGAGAAGGTTGAGTGGTGACTTGATAATACAATCTGTAAGTACTTACTTGGGGAACAAATATTTAATAATGGGCCTTTCAGTCTAACAGAGAAAGGTATAACATGATCCAACTGAAGCTAGACAAATTCAGACTGAAAATGGGGCATAAATTTTTAACAGTGAAGGTAGTTAATCACTGGAGCAATTTAGCAAGGGTTGTGGTGGATTCTCAATCACTGACCATTTTTAAATCAATTTCAGTTGCTTTTCTAAAAGATATGCCCTGGGAGTTATTTTGGAGAATCTATAGCCTGATTATCACAATGATCCCTTTTGGCCTTGGAATCTATGAACATGATTTTTCCCCCCCACTGTGAATGGGCTAGATACACTAGGATAATCCTATTTACATTTGAAACCACTAAGGACTCAAGGTAAAAATTATGGAATATCTTGACCTATCTTTTTGTGGCTGGGGTGATAGTATTCATCTCATTCCAGCACATCATTGACTGGCTGAAGGATGTGTACTATCCTGACAGTACCTAAAGTAACTTATACCCAAAGAAACATCTCCTTGCATCTTCCACATGGAAGTTTAATAGATGTCAGACAGAAAGGACCACTAAGACCATTTACTTCCTGAAGCATTTAAAAATGCTTCCTATGCTTTCTTATTGTTAACCACAAAACTCTAACCAAAATGGCCATAGGTACTTCACTGATAGCATTTAAAATCCCCTTATTAATTGCCTAAATTTCTTAAATTCAAACATGTTATTGCCATGAGCCTCCCCCTTTTTCCATTTGTTCTAGATTGGTTTCCTCATTTTTTTTTTTTAATTGCTGCTTTCACATTTCCAAATTGGTTTTGTATTAGCATTTTTCCACTACAGATTTATGACTTTGGGACATTTAATAAGGTGTTCTGAAAGAATTCCAAACTTTTATTCATATGTCTATTAACATTTTTGTGTTTGCAATTAATTTTGTTCATAATTATATTTTAGCTTTTAGCTTTCAAACCCTTTGAAGCATTCTCCTTGTTTGTAGGTATAATATCGTTATTACTCTGTGGGACTGCATTGTGTTTTCACAAAGCAGATGTAATAAGGTCCTGATCACTTGTGTCACCCTGCCTGGAGGGGCTCATGACTGTGAGTGCCTGCCTCAGTGCAGACTGTCAAAAAAGGGCAGACACCCCAAACTGTTGATGTTCTGTAATTAGATTTCACCAAACCAGTAACAAATGTGAACTCCTGGAGCATTATAACAGTCTTAACATGGATACTATCTAAAGGTTTATTAACTAGGAAAAAAGGAATAAGAGAATTATTTACAAGTTAAAGCAAGCCACCATACACACACACACATGAGTTATTATCCAACTCCTCAGAGTGACAGAGTTGTCAATTCAAAGTGTCTTTCAGAGCAGATCCAGGAGGCTCTTGGGGATCTCTGGCTTCAGTTTAGAGTCTTTGTCTGTCTCTCTCTCTCTCTCCTCTCCTTCCCC